TTGTAGATAAACAATTAAACAATGATAATATTTATAGGCCTACTAATGTTGATTTAGGCGATCATATTCAGGATGTAAGAAATTTAGAACAAAATGTTAGTTCTCCAGATAATTTTTATAACGAACCAGTTATTGATCTGGTTGATCCTCAAGAAATTATGATGAGTTTCTTGAGGAAACCACTGAGGTTCAGGAGGATGATTTTGATATCCCTAAGATATTCCAAGGGGATGATACTTTTGGTAATCCAGTCTCTGATAATCTTGTTAGTTTCTGTTGCCACTACTAAAAAAAGTAGAAGTTGCTAAATTGACATCCAAATACTCTATACCGGAAAATTTTAAATGTTTGGTCGCACCACTCGTGGATGGAGACATCTGGAACATTTTACCAAAGGCTGCCCAATCTCAGGATTTGTCTCTTCAAGATGTCCAAAAATTGATAAGCATTGGTATTGCCCTCTTCTGTCAATCTTGGCATCTAAGGATCGCACCATTGATCAGAACAGTCAAGTTGCTTTAATTGACTCTGTTGTAATTTTGGGCAACTCATTGAATGAAATTTCTCTGAGACGTCGACACTTGATGAAACCTTTTTAAAGTAAGAGATACCATCCTCTTTGCTCTGCTTCTCGACCTATCTCTGGAACTCTGTTTGGTCCAGACATTTCAACCAGAATCAAGGAAATAGACCAATCTGCCAAACTTTACACTCCGATGAGCTACAATAATAAGAAATTTGATAATTATTCAAATGCTTCATATAGTAGATCTTGGTATAAGAGGCCTTTTTTAGCTGGAGGCCAGAGGAGATTTTAACCTCCAGATCGAAGAGCAGCATATTATCCAAGTTACAAAAATTACCAGAACAGGGGCAGACCATACAGTACTCGAGGCAAAGCCAGAGGTATTTACACAAAGAGTCAATAGATCATGTAAGTACTCCTAAGAAAACTAGTAAGGAAACTTTTAGAGCTGGTCAGTTTTCAAAGTTTTCAAAAAATTGGCAGAATCTTACAACTGATAGTTGGATTATTGATACAATAAGTAATGGTTACAAAATTGAATTTGACTCTTTACCTGTTCAGTGGTCTTTGCCGAATTCACCATACCTTTCTGTGACTGAGATTGATGTCATTGATCAGGAAGTAAGGAAACTCCTTAAAAATAATTGAACCTTGTGATCCCGCACCAGACCAATTTATTTCGAATTTGTTTTTAGTACTTAAAAAGAATGGTACCTTGAGACCTGTTATCAATCTTAAAAAGTTAATAAATGATTTTGTATCTTATGACCATTTTAAACAGGAAACTTTGTCGGTTGCTCTGAAATCTATTACTAAGAACAGCTTTTTAACATCAATAGATCTTTGTGACGCCTATTTTTCCATTGGAATTAATCCAAGTGATAGGAAGTTCTTATGTTTTGTTTGGCGTGATGTAATTTATCATTTCAAATGTTTGCCATTTGGTATTTCATCAGCACCTCGGGTGTTTACCAAAGTTTTGAAACCAATTTTTTCTTTCTTGAGAAAGCAATCAATTATTTGCTGTTACTTTATAGATGATTCACTTTTCTCATCTTCAACTATTGAAGAATCAAGGTCTAACACATGTAAGGCTATAGATTTGTTTCATAGTCTTGGATTTGAAGTAAATTTTGAAAAATCAAAATTAAAACCATCTAAAGAATTAGTTTTTCTTGGGTTTATTATAAACACAAGTTTTGATGACTCAGGATAAGTTAGATAAGATTGTCTCTTCAGCTAGTAATTTATTAGCTTCTGTTTTCACTGTAAGAGATTTAGCCTCCTTTATTGGTCTTTGTTCTTTTAGTAGAACTGCAATCCGACCTGCCTCATTTTATATACACTATTTAGACAAAGGCAAAACAACATAGCTTTCACAATCCAACCTTGACTACGATACTGTTGCGAAACTTGACTCTTATATGATCCAGGAACTTTATTGGTGGATTGACAAATGCCATCTTTTTAATGGGAATCATATTCAGCCCCCACCAGTGGATGAGATGGTAACCACCGATGCATCTGAAATGGGTTGGGGAGCTCACTTAAATAATTTTCAGACAAATTCTTTATGGCTTCCAAGTGAACAAGGAAATCACATTAATTTCTTAGAACTGTTGGCAGTGTCTAAGGCTTTGGAAAGTCTTTGTTCTGAACTCCATGATATACACATCTGTATACAATCTGATAATTCTGTTGCTATTGCTTATATCAACAATCTTGGAGGTGCAATAAATTTATTACATGAATTGTCCAAATCTATTTGGTTATGGTGTTCTAGACGGAATATATATTTGTCTGCTAAGCATATCCAGGGTAAATTCAACCTGGAGGCTGATTTTTTATCAAGGAATTTTTCAAATTCTGCGGATTGGATGCTCCATGAGAATACATTTAATAAGATTTGTAACTATTTTGGTACTCCGGATATAGATTTATTTGCATCCTCCTTAAATTATCAGATTGAACCTTACGTTTCTTGGTATCCAGATCCTTACTGTGTAGCTTGCGATGCCTTCACTTTTTCTTGGAGCAATTATTATCCTTACATTTTTGCTCCTTTCAGTTTAATACCACGGATCCTCAACAAGATTATGTTGGACAAGGTATCTTGGGCAATAATGGTTGTTCCAGCTTGGTCAACCCAGGTTTGGTATCCTCTACTTTTAAACCTTTTGGTGGATTACCCACTTCTTTTGCCCAAGAGAAGAGATTTATTGAAGTTAGTCCACAGCGGTGCGTTGCATCCATTGAAAGGCAATTCCCTCAGGTTGACCGTTTGTCTTGTATCAGGACAAACATTCAGAGTAAAGGCATTTTAAAAGAGTCTGCAGAACTCATCCTTAACTCATGGCGACCTAAAACAAACAAGCAATATCAGTTGGCTTGGAATAGATGGAATCTTTGATGTGTGCAAGGGAAAATCAATCCCTTATTTCAATCTATAGAGAATTTGTTAAATTTTCTTGGGGTTTTGTACAAATCTAATTGCTCATATAGTGTTATAAATGCAACACGTTCAAGTATAATTCAGACTTTGCTAACGGTAGGGAATTCCCATCTAAAAGACCATCCTTTACTTACTCGTTTCATGAAAGGTGTTTTTGTACAAAAACCTCCTAAGCCACGCTACTTGGCAACATGGGATATATCTATTTTATTACGATATTTAAGTTCTTTGTATCCGTTGGATTCATTGTCTCTACGAATGCTTACAATTAAAGCAGTTTCTCTGTTGTCATTGTCAACTGCCCAACGTTGTCAAACATTAGCATCTTTCTCTTTAGATTCTGTGAAAGATTCCGGGACAGCTATAAGTCTCTCAACATCGAGTATATTAAAAACATCTCGTCCTTCACGACCTCTATATAGTGTTAACATAAATAATTATAAAAATTTATACATATATTTCAACAACAGAGAATAAACGTAAAACACAAAGTTTATTTATTTCTTTTTTCAATAAAAAAGCTGTATGTGCTTCTACTATTTCCAGGTGGATTAAAGAAGCTTTGATTTCTTCTGGCATTAATACAGATATTTTTAAACCACATTCCTTAAGAGGTGCTGCCTCGTCTGCTGCTAACTTAGCAGGACTTTCTATTTCAGAAATACTGAAGACAGGTGATTGGAGGTCAGAGAAGACTTTTGCTGACTTCTATAACAGAGATATTCTGCCTTCCTTTTTAGATGTTGTGTTGAATAAATTATGAACATTTTCAGAATTTTTAATCTTTTTTCAATTCTTGTTGTCAACCTCTTTAAATTACGCAATATTAATCCGAAATTCCCGAAGGGCATAGATGGAATATAATTTAACTCTCAGCCAAGCGCCCGATAGGGCGCGAAGGATGAGAGAAATTATATGAATATATAGCCCTCCCAAGTCCCTCCCGGGTTATATGTTTATATAATTTAAGGTTGACAACATGCCTGGCTTTAAATAGACACTGACAAGAGGTTGCTGGGCCTGACATCAACTATGATCACGTGACATAGGTCAGGGTTCATGGTTTTATTTTTACTTTAAACATGAGTGTTCGAGCATATTCGGGCTGGATAACCAGGAATATGCAATATTAATCCTCAAGCCCTCGGGCTAAATATTCATATAATTTCTCTCATCCTTCGCGCCCTTCAGGCGCTTGGCTGAGAGTTAAATAAGCTCACTCTTGCTGCTTATTGGCTTCAATTGGCTGTGTCTGCTTTGTATAATTGCAATTGCAACTGATTTAAATAAGTCTCATCACAAATGAAGTGAGTAAAATCAACTGCTAAAATAAAATGAAAGGCAATTTTCAATTAGAGTAAATAAAAGTATGAGGTAAAAAATATTAGCAAGAGTCAAGAGTAGAAAATATAGTAGTAGATTGTATTGTTGAATCAACTTTGATTAAGTGTCAATCTCTATGATTTCTATTACAATAAATGATGATTGATGTAGAATTTATTATTAGTCTTTATTCATTAACTTTGACAACAACTTGGCACCAATGAAAAGAAAACAAGGCTTTGAGATGTTACAGGAATTTCAAACAAACTCCAAAGCATCATATTTTTCACATCAAATCTCATTACATTGCTCTTTTACACTGAATCTTTAGGTCTGTCTGACCCAATCTAATTAAACTTATAGCAAGCTGAGCTAGGATATTTACTGCCATGTTTCTGTTAACCAACTGCCATCTTCTGTCCCTTACTTCTTAGTATTTGTGTATATTGTGGTTAGATAAGTTTTTTCAAATTATTGATTTTGTAGAGTTTTCAGTTTGTTTTCTATAAAACAATTTGTATCAAAGTTCTACTTGTCCAACTGAAACTACGTCAGTTTTATGAATATAGAAACTAAGAGTAACATCAAGTTTTTTTTCGGTTCTATATTACTATTTAAATGTGGGCCTTATGTCAAAGTTACATGCTTAGCATGGCATTAGGCCTTGTAAGGGTTCAAATAATAATTTCATCTACTCACCATCTTTCTTGTAATACAATATATCCACCTGTTTCTCTTCACTCCCTTGTAGGGCCTCTTTAATCTGTAGTATAGCCAGGGCAGAGGTGAGAGGACCATGCATAAAGTCACATAATGATGACTTTTGCATTACCTCTGCCCTGGAACATCCAGTCAGCTCACAGAAACCATCGTTACAGAAGATGATTGGTAGTGTTTCCACCTGGGCATTGGCTATCACAAAATTACGATCTGAAAATACAAGTGACAGAAAATGTTATTACCCTGGCTTCATAAATAAGAGGATAAATAATAAAAGAACTGTAAGAAATGCATAATTTAGTCCTTTACTATATTAAAGTTCTTTATTCTTTACTTGAAAAATAAAGAAATATCTTCCTGTTGTTGATTGATAAATGTACAAAAGAGTAAAAGTAAATTCTGGAATAATATTATTAAATTTTTAATCACATAGAGACTTAGTTTTCATAGATCTTTTCTACCAAGAAGTCAATCTTCATTCATAGAATATCAATATATATGTACATTTTTGACCGAAATTCTATCTTATTCAAAGTTACCAGAACTGCATGAAGATTACAAATCATTACCAAAATTTGCCACTTCTACAAAGTGTGGTTTATCAATATTTCACAAGCAGAAAGCATGACAAAGGTAGTTTACAAAAGATTATGCATTATTTAAGAAACAAACAAGCTATAAATAAAGATAGACACAGGCTGAGCAATCTGACTAAAACTGACTCCAGACATGTACAATTGAAGAGTGATCTAATGTAAACTTACAGCGATGAATTAAAAACAAATGTTGATATTCAGAATATTGAAATAAAATCCTATAAAATCCAATTATCTTTGTGTATATTTGTGGAAAATGAAAATTATTCATCTGCTAAGACAATAGAAAACTAATCATACTGTGTGTTTATCTCATATAAAAATGCATAATGTCAGGGAATTGCCTTTACTCAAATTATACGAACAAAAGTATTATCTACATAAAACTTTGTCATATATCATTTGTGTCTATATTTGTACGATTCAAAACAAATGCTTGTGTGTGAATAGTAAAGGATTTTAATTATTCTTTTACACAAACCAAATTTACAGAAGTATTTCAAGAAAATATAATCTGTATGAATTGAGATCTTGGGCATGGCTAGCTTGATTAGGGTGGGAAAGACGTCATTTACTTTATTACATCAAACAAATGGTGGTTTGAGGGTATGCTGCCTTGAATCAGTGCTTAGTCTGGTCTTATATAGTCATTATTTTTCTTATTTTTTCTAGAGACCAGGGGGTTCAAAAGTTTTTAAAGTAGGGGGCAGTTTCAGAAAAGTAGGAGGCTGGTATTTCCAAGATTCATTGGCGGAAGATAAGAGTCAAGGGGAGTTAATACCTCCCCAAAGAAAATTTGGAAAATGAAACATCAGACATGCATAATTCTGGCACTTATTAAATATTAATTAAAAATTTATTTATTAATCAAACATAAGTTTTAAGCTTTATGATGGATTTCCATAACTATTTAGTGAAGCAGTTTGTTTTTAATGCGACAATTGAAAATGCACAGCACTTTCAAGAATATAGAGCAGCTCTGCAAATTTCTAAGTTATGAATGGCATCATAATTGTGTAAAAACCTTGTCACTTGATTGTAATTTTAATACAAAATGTGTTTCTAAATATTAATTAGAATTAATTACTGTATAATACGCACCATTTCATACATTCGAATGAATCGGAGAAAATCTGTCACATAATAATTAACTACCAGTCCGGACGCAAAAAGTAAACAAGTTGGCATAACGTAGACACCATAATTTTGAGTAGAGATAGCGCATATCCACCAACTTGTCTTCAACAAATACTTTTGTTCTTACGGTTATATTTTAATTGCATTTTTCAATCAATTCAAAGCCAAAGATAGAAATAATATTTGTTTGTTACTGTTATTTCTATCTTTTCATGACATTGAGTCTAAATTTTCAAGGTCGTACGCGTATGAATCTCGATTGAGAGAGACAAAACTAACCGAGAAATATAGGAAGCTCAGGGTTGCAATTTATACAGTTACGAATATTTATAAGCCTGTCATTATTTTTTTTTTAAGAACCTCTCTAAATTAAATGTGTTTTATATCTTTTTGAAAATGACGAAGCTTTCCAATTCTAGTTGATTGTCGATTGGTAGGGTCCAGATCTACCAAGCTAGTGTAAGCCATATCCCGATTCCCAAAAGCGTGAACAATAGTGTCGTTTTTTATTCGGAGGTTATGAAACAAATCTTATATCGTCCAAATGAAAAAAAAAATGCTTTACTGACGAAAATTACATTCTATTTTGCTTGAAATTGTATCTCAATTAGCGATGCCATGTCAGTTATTATGTCCCCTGCATAAGTTGGTCAGAAAAACAAATTGCAAGAATGGAAAGTTTACGGGCTGTCATAAAATGTTAAAAGGATTTTATGAAACGAAGATACAGATCACATTAGATTCGGACATCCAGTCTAGCAGGATTATCTAGTAATAGTAGAAAGACCTATGCAACGGCGTCTAAGTTGTTTATTGATTTCGTTTTCTGTAAAAATAAGGATACCGTAAAATACCGTAAAATTTCGATTTATAAAAGCGAAAGTAAAATTTTTTTTTTACGTGTTTTCAACGAAAAGTAGCCGGTGAAAACGGCACAAAATGAGGATTTTAAACGGCGCTTTTCACTGGCTGCCGGCTACTTTTGAACCCACTGAGAGACTAGGCTAACCTAAGCACTGTTTATCTCTGAACTATATGAGTTAAATCCTTATGGCTATCTGTAATCTTACCAAATAAGTACAGGTTAGCTTTGATTATTTATTTCTTACAAGTTCTTGTGAAATAAGTTATTTCTCAGTATTATGCTCTGCAGTTATCTTTGACATTGCTAATGAAAATTACTAGTTGTAGAAGAGTTTCCTGTGGATTGATTTTTAGTCTCTATAATCTAAATAAAGACATCTGACAGAAGAAATCTGTATGAGCTCTTTATCTGTATGTGAGCTAATTTGTGAAGAGATTAGGTTTAGGAAACCTAGAATGTGTTAAAGATATTGAAATACATTGAGAAGGCAATGATATTATCTGCTTATGTTAGTGGAGACCTAGTCACAAGTAGAAATTAGACCAGGGTTTGTAACAGTTGTAAAGACTCTAATTGGCTAGATTCATGACAGAACCCTATAGTTAGTCCAATCAACAGAATTGACTAATCAATACCTCCTATAGCAAGGTCATAAACTCTTTAACTAGTATCCTTTTTACTGCTTCCACATTTCCTCCAGTTGCAACAGATACATCCGGTGTTTTCAAATCAATTTCTAGCCTGCATTTTGACAAATTGTTAGAGATAATGAAAAAATTTTCTTGGCTATAGGCAATCAAATGATGTAACATCAAATGTGTATTTTTTGCTAAGTGAACAAGTTTTTGAAAAAATCTTCTTTGACCTACATATTCTTCCACTGATTCTTAAGGCAAAAATTCTGCAGTTGTATGTTCTGTTGTCAATTTAAATCACTTCCTGCTGGATTTTTTTAAAGAATCATTAAACAAAGATTATAGGGCCATGATCAAGAGCATCACCAAACACAGATTTAGTCTGCAAAAAATTGCACATCTACCTTAAAAAAGTTCAATTTCATGATTTTAGTCAAAGGGTTGCAGAGTTAATGCCCTTGGATTAGTTAAAATATGACTGGCTTGTGATTATAAGAACTTCATGGATGGGATTGTTCACAGAAATAAACATTTATTTTTGTCATAAAGTTGGAGTTGCTATGGAATACAATTTTGAGCAAGCTCTTTGAATGTTAAATATGCCTATAAGAAACTGTTCATAAAATGGTACTTATACGGTCATTTCAGGGTTCAATGAAGACAGATAAATTGATTGTGTTAGATCATTCTGGAGTTATATAGCTCTCACCAAGGTCATTTCATATCATAATTTTGTTGATGCACCCATCTCCTTTCCTGCAATAGTTCAATTTCTCTTTTGCTCTTAAATTTGACCAACAAAAATCAATTCAGTTGCTTGATATAATGTCTGAAATCATCACAAAGGACCTTCTGATTGACAGCAGCCATAGATTGAGTCATGCATCTTTTCTTGTTGGTAAATATAGCAAAACTACTAGCTACATAAGTATATTTTTTGACTATATTTGGATTAAGAAATAGTTTCCATTTCAAAGACAATCTCCATATAAAAGGCTGATGAAGTTCAATAGTAGACATATTTCATGCTTAGTTCAGTGGAATACCCACTTGGTATGATAGTATACTCAAAGGTAGCCAACTGAAAAATTAATAGCCGTAAAAGTTTAATTTGCTTTCTATCCATAGATAAGACATTGAGCTGAAATGTATTGAGAAGCATAAAACATGACAAAACACTGTCACCAAGAAAGACAATTATGCTACTTATACCCAAAACACACATGTCTGGGTAGCTTGGATGTAAATATTTATGATGAAACGGGATAAATAGCAAGACCACTAATTCACAAAGGTTGCAATAAAGCCAACTCACTTTCAAAGATTAAGACAAAAGTTAAGTTTCTGAGTGCTAAAATACACTGAAAACTCACTAAGCTGACCAATGACAGAAAGTGACCAGGTCCAGTATGATCAGTACAGTTATGAGGACAATAATTAGAACATTAGTATTGGGCCAGTGTAAGGTATAATTATATACTTATTATAACAAAAGTGGTGCATTAAGATAAGACGACAATTAAATAAACGCACCCTGCCACGATTATCATATCTAATATTGAGTTTGATACAACGTTTAACTGTTTGGTATGTTGGGAAGTAAAATTTATGTCAAATAATGAATATATTGATACTTATGAGTTATCAATTAAAAATCATCCAACTGGACAATAAAAAAACACTCAAGTGAGATTTTCTCAAAGTTCTTGAAATCTTTAAGATATGATCACAGACAGGATGCCATTGGTCTTTATGAGGATGTAATGAGTTATCTGATCCTGATTTGACTGGGTTGATGAAGACTATGATCTAAAAATAGCAGAGTAAAGGGTAAAATAATTAGTTAGTACTATAACCTGAGAGTATTGTGTGTTTGTAATGAGAGAAAGTTATTTATTTATCAGAGACAGATAGTTATCTTATACACCTAGCTCAACCCCCATTCTCTGTATATATGATGTAGGTAATTTCTTGGAA